CACATAAATCAATAGGTTGAACACTTGTAACTTGACTGGTGTGTCTTAATATGATTATATAATATAACATGAATACCAACTTCATTCTCCAGTTGCTAAGTTATACAATGGTTGAACAGGTATAATGTGGGAGCAACTTCTGTACTCATGATTTGTGTCCATTTTTCAGACAAAGACTCTCCTTGACTATGTTGTATACTATTGTTGGAGCATGTGGATGGCTTTTGTCTAGCTTTGCGTTTGTGAATTCCTATCTGTTATAGGATGCCACATTTTGCATGCCATGGATAGGGTATGAATTGTAGCAGGTCTCTTTCTGGATGGGCTTGGTGCCCCTAGTTGATCCATATTCTTTTGTTTTCCAATGCCATTAAGTACATTTCCTTGTTGGAAATTCTAAATCTTTAATCTGTACACCTCTTTATGATCTGAGTGTATGACTATTTTACGTAGGAAAGTGATTAGTTTTCAGTGGCATCACACTATCTGGAAAATGAAAACAATGTCAAAATGTAGTTCTGATACGTAACAGTCCACTCAAATTTTAGCTGTGGGTGTGATACAACTTACTGAGTTGCATATTCAAAATTGTTTTAATATAAAATACTCTATACATATTAATGTTGTTAAGCTTAAATAGTATGTAAATTTTCATTAAGCAGTTAATTTAACACAAAAATAAACGAAGGCTAGTGCCATTGAGAAATTTATACTCTGGATTAGAAAACTTCCTTAAGTTAAAACTTTTCTATGCATGTATATACTGTAATGATATGTGTTATCGCACATTTTTTTTTTCAAGTTTCCCCTTAACACAGAGACATTCAGGTATTATATATGTAGGGTATTTACATGTTTTATTGTTGCCTACCATAGGATTTGCTAACCAGAGGACCAAGGCTTTTGTACTTCAATATTTTGTAAGCACAAAAAAATGAATAAGATGAGCCGATTATATTGTTTGTGTTCTAACCATTCTGGTGTATTAATGGTTCTTGAATATTTAAGCATTCTGATCTGTTTATATAGACATGTTTTAACATGGTGAATCTTTATAACTGTTAGATTCTGTGAAAGACACCATATGTATAGGTGACAACCTGTACATATGGGAACATCCCAATTAGTGTCTAACTCTTTTTCTTGAGGGTGCTATAAACATCTTTTGAGGTGAAAAATGCGGTATTAGACTGTATATTCCCCCCCCCCCTGTTTTTGTGTTTTATTCTTAAAAACTGTAGTGTAATAATATTAATATATTCATACATATATAGATGCTAAATATGATTGAATGCTACAATTTCATTCTTTTTTGATAAGAAACTAGCATTATTCTTTTATTTATGATGTTAACTACTTTTGAGAATTGATGCCAAACTTTGTGTGTAAGGTCAGTGAGCCTTTTGTGTGTTTGGCCAGTGTTGTTTTCAGATCTAAGTGTTCCCAGGATATTCCCTATTAATAATATTAGTATATCAAGTGTTGGCAGTGACGAACAAATAGGAAGTTTTCAGTTAATCTGTCATAATTATTGTTACAAGTGGGAATAATTGTGAACCACAGGTTTTGATAGTAAAAGCTGATGATTGATTAAGTGATATTTTATAATATAAAACTGATATGAATTTGTTTGACACTGGAATATATGCAGTAGTTTATGTGTTTCTGGGGACACCAGAATGGTGGTTTCATTGTGTATGTTATGATATGGGAAAGTTTTGTATGGAACAGTAATTCAAGCAAACCTATCTGACAGGAGTTAGTTGTGAAAATGTTAGAACAATTTTGGACACTTATCAAATTTTTCAGTAAATACTTGACTTTATCTGAGGTGAAGATACAATTGAAGTTTGTCTTTTCATGCAAACCCAACAGAAGTATGTTATAGCTTTGTCTACTTTGGTAGTAAATTCAGTTTCTGAATCATTGTTGCAAGCTCGTAATTGCAAAGTTAATTTTGATCAGATTTAAGTGAGAAAAAGTTAGTTCAGCCTTTTGCAAAGAGTTCCCTTTTCAGTAGTTTCCAATCATTGTTTAATGTGTTTGTGTGCTGAATGTCAAATCTGAGGAAATTGTTAAATAATCTAGTTTTTTTGTTAAATGAGGAGCCTTATTTGACATTATTATAGAAATGTTTTGAGAATGGATGGTAGGGGTGTGTTGCTTCTCCAAACAATTTCGATTAAAGATATTTTTGTCCCTATGAACCATTAAGAAGAAAGTCTGAGTTTATTGAATTGTTTGTTGTCAATGTAGGTACAATTCAGTTTTGGACATTAATTGATATAAAGTTGTCTTGTCATCTGCACCATTAGTCTAAAAGTTTATCTGAAGCTGAGGGAGATGTGAATCTTGCATTTGTAGCCAATGGTCAAGCTAAGGGAGAGATTTGTGTTTTTTAATCAATGGTCTTACTTTTATTAATTAGGAGCAGCTAATTTAATTATAATTTTCCTGCATTGATGTTTAGAAAAGAGAGCACATTGGCTACTAATAGTGTTTCATGTATATCATGTGGATATTAAGTAAAAGTAAGCAAAATAATGAACATTTAGTATTATTTAGAATAGAGGATGTATTATATACAAAATGTTTTGTAATCATTTCAAAAAGACTGCAATCCATCAAAATGCTCTCCAAACTTAAAATAATATTACATAATGTCTTGATACACCAAGTTACACTGTATTTGCTGAAAAGCAGTTTGAAACTCTAATGAGCCAAATGTAAGAAGTAAGAATATTTTGAAAAAATCTCCAGATTGGCTGATAGTAGAGGTAGTTTTGAATACATGTAGATATAAATACAATGAAAGTAATTGTGTGCGTGTTTTGTTATAGCAAAGCCACATTGAGCTATCTGCTGTGTCCACCAAGGGGAATGGAACCCCTAATTTTAGTGTTGTAAATCTGAAGACTTACCACTGTTTCACCAGGGATGTGAAAGTAAAACAAGAAAAATTATTACTGTTAAAGTAAGAAAACATGCTTATATTTAGGTAGTGTTTTTATAAAGTATACATAGCTAAGTGAATAATTAATTTTCTTAGCCCTAATCACACTGCATTGTTTGAACATAAATTACTGAAAAGATTTTCAAAGAATTAATGGATTTTATGAAAAGACAATGTTGTTAACAGTTTTTGATCATAGCCCAGTATAGGGGAATATTACTGAATCATTTTTTTGTATTTCCACAACAAATTCCTTATTCCATGCTTTTGAATTATAATTTTTATTTTCCCTATTTAAAATTTTCAAGTTCAATCAATTAGTTGATGGACTCACAAGATAGTTTACAATAGCAATGAAGTCTATTTCTTTTACACATGTCTTGGGTATTGTAGGAAAAGCCAATTAATTTAACTATCCATATATACATGTGTTTGTTCAATAATTCATGTAACTTCTAACTATTGATTTAATTTGATTATTTCTTGAATTTGTATGCTAAGAATACCAATGTGTAAGTTTTACATATAAATCTTGTTGTCCATAGTCTAAAATGTAATTTAAACAATTTCGAAAACCTTTCTTATAATGTTTATTTTATATGTTTGATTCAGTAATTCAGTGTGTTTTGTGTTCCCTGATTGGTTCTCCATTACTCTCAGTTTTATCATGCTGAATTTGAGAATTAAATAACCGGAGTTTGACCATGGGGTGGTTTAGTAAAAGCAGTTTTTATAGTTTTAATTATATGAATAACATATTCCCCTTGTTTTTGTAACATGATATAAAGAACTACTTAGGACAGTTCAAGAACCTTCAGTTTCTTATCTTGTATAGCTTTGATATTAAAAGTCTTTAAACATTTTGTCATTCTGAATATGTAGGCAAATTTCTCATGGTTACTTATGTTTTTAGAAACAAACTTATCTAAAGACTTCTTATTAGCATAGTTAAAAAACATTGTAATTGAATATAAGAAGGAGCACAGTGACAGAAGTTTGCCATTTGTTCATTAAACTTATCCCTTAAACACTGAAAAAACAACCAAAATATCAGAACCATATTAAATCCAGCCCTTCACTATTCTATCTGTTCAACATAAGTAATCCAAATAGCAAATACCTTAATATCAGGCAACACAGGTATAGGCAGGGTTGATTGATCTGGTTGGTATTTTGAAGTTATAATTTTTTTAAATATCTTTTTTGTAAATATCATCATTTTACAAGTGTTTTTATGTTGAAATTTACTGAATATTATTATATTTTGAATAACTGTTTTATGCTAGCTAAATCAGATATTGTTTAATGTTACATACACTGTTCGATATACAACATCACAGTTGTCCATGAATTCTGATTATTTGTCTTTTAACTAGTGGCCACTATTTTCACAAACTACTACCTACCAACTAATAGGCCTAGAGAAATGTGCAAACTGGTTGTCTCCATCAAGGGCTTTGCCCCTGGATTCTCTTAATGGCCCTGTTGAGTTATAGGTCTAGGCTACACCTCTAAGTAAGCCAGTTTATTACTGTAACCAATAATATTATATTGTCAAAGAACAAGTTTGAGTAGATTTCTAAAACATAAACATGTTACTCCTATGTCCTTTAACGTTCATTTCCAATCTTTTCATTCCACCACTGTATTAAGTTACATAGTTTAAATTGCTTAAAATATTTCAGTTTAAAACTTTAATCTTCTTACAACATCAATTAACCATTTATTCTAATAGCCTATATCTGTATTCTTACTAAGAAGTTGATATCTTTCCTGTTGCAAAGGGGATCAAAATACATACTTTACCTCAAATGAAACCTCACTAGTCATATATACATACAAATATATAACTTTTAGTCTGACATTCAAAATGTTTATGAACGTAATTCAGAAATTTACTTGCTGTTTTCTCAGCAGATCCAAACACTCAGCTGAAAACTTAAGTGTTTTCTTGACAATCATACCTAAAGCAATACTAGTTACACATAAAATGTTCTTTCAAATTATTTTAAAATTGAAAATATTTACAAACAACAGATCCCAGGAATATATTTGTTCTTTTTTATTACCACTAAACATTGAGTTGAAAATTTTAAGGTGTTCTCAACAGTCACACCTGAATCCTCTTTATATTTCTCAAAACCAAAAATCATTACCATATTCTGGCCAAATACTAAAACAGTCAAGTTTTTCTTTTACAAAAAATAATTTTCAGTAGAACCACCTGTTCTCATCAACCTAGTACCTTCAGTGAATTTGGAAATAATGTTGCCTAAAAAGGTATTTAATTTTTTGACAGAAATAATTATCAGCAAATTTCCAATAAAAGACCACAGCCATTGAGGAATTCCATCACTGATATTCTCCTAATTGTACAACTTTATCACTGTTCCTTGATCTAAACAATTAGGTTAGTTTTCTATCTACTTCCTGACTTTTCCATAGTTCCTGAATCATCCATCTTATCGAATACATGGCACTTATCAAAGGTTTACTGAAGGTCAAGATGCAAACTGAGGTGGCATCATTCAAAAAGGGGGAGGCAAAGGTATATTAAGAAACTACATAGGAAGAATTCCAAATGTGTGTAAAAGAGTTAAGCAGTTTTTGAATTCCAGCTCCTTCATCAGTAAAAATACTAGTCAAAAATATTATCATTTTAGCCATGCATTTTCTTTTTCCATAATAAAGTAACTTTAAAATCTCTTAAAGTATTCTGTTTTTTTTACAGTTAATGCTAGCATAAAAATTTTGCTTACCATTTTTTATTTGTTAATTATTTAATTACCCTGTTCATTGACTTGAGTGGAATACATGTTTTTGTAAGAAATACATTTTGTTTTAGCTAGCATGTTAAGTCCCAAAAGTAATCAATATTTTACCGTTCAGACTAGCTACCAAATCCCTGTCTCTCATAGATCATAAAAGTTTTATAAATCAGTTTTCCTAAATCAGAAACACAAGTCTTATCAACACAACTGGTTTTAATCAAAACACGAAAGATAATAATAATAATAATATTATGAGCACTTACTCAAGTATTTTGCATAACTAAGTTTTAAACAATATCTTTAACATACTGTTTTGTATAGTTTATCAAGTAAAACTTATCATAAATTCTGTATGGTGATGTTTGTAATACATCAAAAGTTAACCCATTCAAAATGTGTTTCTGAATGTTTATTTATGCTGTACTTAGTACCATAACATCTTGAGTCAACTTGGTCTTTAAATTTATATTAATGTATGTATCTTTGAATTTGTACATAATATTTTTTGCAGGTAGTATGTATACAAAAATATTACTATAAAAGTAATAGTGTCTATTATAAGATTTTATTTAATTTGATAACATGTATTATGCATACAGTGTTAATGCTCACTATCTATTTTCTTGATGTATATGAATTTAAATATTTAGAAGTCTAATAGTATGAGCAGTTCAATGTGTGTGATGGAGTTTTAATTAACTTTTTAGAGATAGTATTATTTCATTTAATTAGCAGCAATCCATATTACTTGCTACCTTGGAGCAATATGCAATATATATCATGAATTATTCAATCAGATCTGTTTTTGAATACATTTCTTTATACTAATACTCTTTATGCTGCTAAAACTTTTTTTATTTCCCACTTACAATTTTCCCAGTAAAACACTTTTCTATTATTTCATAGCTGGAGAAATAAACAAGACCTTCCACTCATTCAAGGCATTTATTATGTCTCTACACTAACTAGAAACATTTTTCCACTATACAGTTATTAATTTCTGTAGCATTTAAGATATTCAAGATAAAGGAAAGAATCAATGATCAGGATATTTTTTTATAAAATCTGTTTCTTTATAAATAACTTTAACACATAGATTTTTGATATTTCATACTACTTTTTTTGACTATTTCTTTTGAGAAAAAATGTTTCCAAACAAACAATTTTAGTTAGATATGTCCCGTAACCTTGCTAACTTCACAAAGTGATTATGGTTCTGGTTATAGTAAGGGTGGAAATTACCAAAGCAGATTTACAATGAATTGAACTTTAAACATTTTTTAATTTGTTTTACACACTTTTTTGTTGCTTAAACTACAAATGGGATGATCACTGTCACAATCACAACATATGTAGGTGCTCTAATCTTTACCAACAAGGAACAAGACCAACAAGATAATATCAAACTTTGCGATGTTGGGGCAACCATGCTCTCATTAATGTATGGTTATTATCTACCAACAATAAATACCAAAATGTGAAGGAACCATCTGATGGTTAATAATGGTACAACTATGTACAAAGTTTCATGGATGGGCTAGTCACAAGCTGTACATAATTTTTCTTGCACATAAACATGACACTATAGAAGAAAAATGAATAATTATAGAGGGTTAAATGGTCAGCACATTTGGAACTAAGAGAGACAACTTTGATATGTGCACAGAAAATAACAGAAGCATGTGCAGCCAACACAAAAGATACATATCTATTTTTTAACAATTATAAACTATCATTTTTATTCTGGCTAACATGCACAGATTCATTCAAATACACTTGTACATGAGTCACTGTATGACAATGTTTAATATTTCTACACTGCTATCTTGATTGGGAGTTTAATTCTGTAGGATGACTCTGAAGTTCTCGTTTATCTTTTCCATAGAAAAGTTTATGGGAATTTTCCATTATAGCTGCAGAGTTTGGTGCCACTTTTGAGTGGACAATGGGTGATGTATCCCTACTGCCACTATTTCCTATGGCAACCCCTGTGTTTGAGCAGGGAATCAGTGGAGGAGGGGGAATGGGGTTAGTGGGGTTCCGTGGAGAACTGGTTTTACTTCTGGTGGTTACCACACTATTAGCTAAAAAAGGGCTGCTTGGTAAAGGATACAGGCTGCCAGGGGGGCCAAAAGGGGGAAATCCATGAGAAGCATAGAGCAACTGAGATTCATTAGGTCTTAGTAAACCAGGATGAAGTTTATTGTGGTGGTCTCTTTCCATGTGATAAGCAATCTCTGGGTTTCGCAAGGTTGAGAGCTGACGAGCATGTTCTGATTCTCGAAAACGATCATAGGGCGGAAATGGCATCACAGATTTTAAAGGATACTGATGGAAGAGTTGTTCTCGCTCACAACCTGAAACTGAGGAATATTCCAGTGGTTGGTATGGATCTCGGGTAGTGACTGAGGCAGTGCTGGTTACAGTTACTGTTGTGTTGGCTGTTGCCAAAGAAGCTGGCAAATGATCTGAACTGGAACCTGACACTGACTCACTACTAGGTCCTGTTGTACGTGTTCTATTAATAACATTCAAATGGGGATGATGAGGCACACTACCAAGCAAATAATCATGTGATGAATTTTCTGATCGAGGAGTTTCCACTGATTTAGTTTGTTCATGCTCCACATTGATGGAGTTCATCAAGCCAGCACTATTAGCACTTAATATACCATCCTCACGTTTTTCTTCTTTAACTTTCATATCATTTTTCAAGTGAACAGAATGATTTTCTGTTCTATGATTGTTGTTTCGTATTGGAGATCGAGATACTTCTTTGAGCCCTCTTGACTGGTCATTTTCTCTTTCCCTACTTCTGTCCCGATATTCTCCATGTCTACTGCCCATGTTGTTTAGTTGGTGTACGACACGTTTTTCTCTATCCCTGAAACACACAAGTACAAACTTTAAATAACTTTTCATATCAGGAATATTACTAACAGAAAGTAGTATCTTTTTTAGTGGATTTCACTTCTACACACTCTAGATCTTCTGTTTTTGCAACAAATAATATCTAGAATTTAAAGGTTATGAATTTAAGTATTTTCTTTTTTAGAAATAAAGCTTAAAGTATGTGTAATAATGGGTGATAAATGTGACTTGTTGAAAATATATCAAGCATTAACCTACAAGGTGGCTAAACTGCAAGTTTTAATCATTGCTTTTTTTTTATGTGATAGCACATTACCTAAAGAAATATATGTATACAGCACATTAAACTGTTCAATATAATCTTATGTAGAGCTGAGTAATTAACTCAATTACCTATGATCATCAGTTAAATTCATTACTGTCATGTAAAATAAATGATCTATCAAATTATGACTAAATCAATTAATATCACAAAAATAACTAACATATTTCCAATTATTACTGCTTTCATTTATTTCCATTATCCAGTAATTGAAATTATGATTTAGTTGACTGATGTCACAAGAATAATTAACTAATCAAAATCAGAGGTTCCAATTATTCCAACTATCAAAGTAATCTAAAACTACCATCATCTTTGTTGTTATGCACAAAGCTACAAAATAAAATCCATTTTGTATTGTTATAAGTATTTTTTGTTTTTGTTAACTCATGAGAATAATATTTTTTTCCCATCTTGAAAGAACAATCAATTATTGACCCCAATTAAAACAAATTTCCAGGACCTTTTCCTATCAAACACACATGCTGTCATGATTCAGTTGAGACTAATTATGTGTTAATACATTCTACAAATTCAAAATATTTTTTTACAAAAGAACACACTCTCCAGAAAACTGCAACAATAACTCAGTAATAAATTGATTCAAGATATTGACAGAAATCTTGAATTACAACAGAATACATACATTTTCTCAGCTGTACAACAAAAGTGTCAGACTAGGTTTGGCTGACAGAAGTGATAGTCATCAATTCCCATAGGAATAACATTTTCTTACATGTTAATGTTCTTATAATTTCTTATAATTTTTAACCTGTTTTTGGATATCTTAGTTAACCTCATTTGTGTTAATCTTCAGCTTTTCTAGAACAATAATTCAATTTTTATGATGTGTAGGCCTTTTACAAGCTGAGTAAACATTATTACAATTATATTTGTCGCAAGACATTAGTATTAGACCTATTACACTTTTAAGCTCTAAATACTTTATTTAGGGTGGTTGTAATAGTATTATCATATGCACTTCTAATTCTTGAAAATCCCTAGAGTACTAGATAAAGAACATAATGTTTAAAAATGTAATAGGCCTAATACTAATATCCTATGACAAGTATAATAATAATTCAATTTTAAGAGATGTTTCATGTTCACCACTTTTCTCAGCAATTTCATCAAGTGATAAAAGGATGAAACATTTCATATGTCTCATAATTGATTTCTTCTAGAACAATTCATTTACCATTCTATTCCAAGTGATAAATGTATTCCCCCCCCCCCCCCCCCCCTGATACATTTATATTTGGATGGTCACTATACTACAAGTTAACCCTTAGATTTATATTTGGCTGTTCATGATACTACAATTTAATCCTCATAGATTTACAATTCTGTATTTTTCTCAGGACCCGTTATTCTTTTGTTATGTAAGATTGTAGTTTCACATAAAACACTGAAAACTACAACTAAAAAAAACAAGTTTTTTAATATGTATCCCAAGAATATTTTCTTAAAACATTTCCACCTTAGTTTTTGAGCAAAATTTCAGGTACACTTTGCATTTTAACTTGTGATCCGTTATCTTGAAAAAGAAAAGATGAAAAGTGTGTTCAGGAATTTAGGGATCAACCTTGTTGTGTTATTTACCTTTCTCTCTGCCAATCTTCATCCTTTCTTTCTCTAGAAAGACAAAATAAACTTAATGTAGGTGAATATTTTTAGTTTTCTTCTTCATAGACATGTATTACAATCAATAATTTTATACTTTAAATATAGAAGTGGATTACCTTATTTTTATTAAAAAAGAACAACAACAAAAAAGAGGCCAAAAACATGTTAAAGGATTTTTAGCATATAAAAGAAAATAATGTTACAAAGTTCCTAGCTTAGGGGAAGTCATTACTCCCCCTCCCCCCCCCTTTAAGTTGTTTTTGTTAGTATTTTGGTCTATTTCTTTACAGTCCCTCAACATGTTTTTCTGGCCAGCTTGGTTTTCATTTTGTTTATTTGTCTTAAACCCAGCAGCACTTTAGTTTAGAACTTTTGTATTATATCTCCACCTGCTGGTAATGCTTGTTTTTTGGCATTCATAATTTATTTAGATATATCGTTGTGTTGTTTTGACTAATGTATTGAAGGTTTTTTTTCTTTTTTTTTTTACAAAAAGAAAAAATGGGAAAAAATGTTTTTGTAGTATCTGTTAAAATTTAAGAATCAACAAGGAATGTTATATGTTTGTTCTGAATGTTACAAATCTAAATAAATATGACACATACCAAGGCAATAAATGGTTAATGCTTCATGTTTGCAACACTAAACTAATTGATGAATTCATTTCATTGAGCTGCAGTCTTGATCTATTAGTTAAAAAAGTAGCTTTTGTAAGTGAGCATTTTTCATTGCTTCCCATAGCAAGAATCTTAAATGAACTGTGATGTATTGCTACACCATTTTTAATGAAAACATGATTATATATGATTGATTTGTTATTGGCCACCAAGTTGCATGTTCTTTTATGCATGTTTCATAACCACCTAGTGATTGATCCAGTGTATCTAGAACTGCATCTAGGACATTTAAATCTGTTTGCAACTACAGCTGGGTAGTATAATTTGCCAATTGATTAATCATCAAGCTCATTAATTGATTACATTAAACTAATGAATTATTCTCACATAGACTAATCTTTCTATTTTCAGCTTGTTTGTTTTCTTAAAGACATTTTCAAATTACTTTTCATTTAATATAATAGATATCTTCAGGTACAACAATTTAGGATTAAGTTACTTTCTTAATAGTGATCTGTTTTACATAAAAATATATTATATATGCAATATAGTAAAATACCTGCAAAAATCTGAAAAAACAATTAATACCATTCTGTGGGATTCTCCCTATAAATTTTCACAGGACTACTCTAATAAAAATAATAAAATAATTCTTCATCAAAATTAATTGTCTTTAGGTTTCATGTGATAAAACTAGCAAAGAGTTTTTGTCACAGTGTTTGATAGATAATATATATAATTCACTGAAAACAAATTTATGCTGATTTTAGGAAAACAAAAGACAATGCAATGTTTACTATATGGCAAGAAAACTTATGATGATACTAGATGACCTCTTTGCAGATATTAAAATTATCTATAATATGGAATCTAAGTATTATAAGAAATATAAAAAATATGATAATATGAATAAAATCTTTAATTACAGAATTTCAGAATTTTTTAAAACTTCATTCATAAAAGTGAAAAATAACTTTATAAGTATAAAAACATCATAAGCTTTTAGTGAGAAGTTGTTTAAAGTCTAAGAAGAACACATTAAAATGATTAATATGTTTAGATTTTAAAGTACAGGCTGGAAGAAACTGTAGAAAAACAAGTCCATGCTGAGAAATCAATAAATCAAACAATCTAAAGCTTACTGCACTAGGCAATGTTTAATCAGCACACAATGACAGCCAGACTTTTATTTTCCCTTTTAAATGCTTCCTCTCTAGTTGGACCTACTCATAATTAAACAGGAGCCCTGTTCATGTAAGGTAACAATTTAATGGTATACTACACATTGTTAGACTTTTATTACTCTATATTTAGTGCTTCCTATCTAGCTAGAGCTACTCATAACTAAACAGGAGTCTTGTTCATGTAAGGTAACAATTTAATGGTATTACACATTGTTAGACTTTTATTAATCTATATATGGTAATTTTTGACAAACAGTTAAATGAGCAAGTTATTCAGCAATCAAGTCTGTTTTTAAGCAAATAGAGAATAATGAACATTAACTTACCATAACTTATTTTCTTATAGAAATATCTTACCCTGATTACGTTTTAGCTTGAAATAAGTTAAAGCTACACTGTTAGTTAGACATATAAGGAAAACATGTATGCATCACTAAGGCTACTTAGGTTACCAACAGCCACTACACCACACCTTCACATTTGTGAGTTGTTTACAAGCAGAATGCATACACACTTGGTGCTAATAGAAGCAGTAACAGAATATGTCAGTTGGTTTTCTTATATATCTTGTGGTATTTAATTAATACACCATTTAAACCACAATTATCTGTTATTGCAAAAGCAAAGATATTTTGCTACATGTTTTGGCCATCATCAGGCAGAATGCAAATAGGCAAGGCAACAATAACTATACTATATTAAAAAAAAAAAATTGTGCCAGAGGATAGTAGGTTGGCTAATGTTACTTCTCTTTCAAGGAAGGTGATAAAAATAGTCCCAGTAATTTATAGGCCTATTAGTCTTACATCAGTGGTGGGAAAAGTTTTTGAAAGTCTGATAAAAGATGCTTTGCAAAGTCATTTAACAAAGTTCAAAATTTTGTTGGATAGTCAGCATAATTTCACTAGGGGAAAATTTTGCCTTACTAATAGTTTGACATTCTTTGAAGAGGTTACTGGTTACATAGATAAGGGTACAGGTGTGGATTTGGTGTATCTGGATTTTAGGAAAGCTTTTGATAAGGAGCCACATACAAGGCTTGTTAAAAAGTTATTTCTGTAGATGTGTGGAATAGGTTGGTGCATTGGATAGAAAACTGACTAGATAGAAAACAGAGGGTTGTTATAAATGGGGTTCAGTCAAACTGGATTAATGTCACAGGTTCTCTTTTTTATTTACATTAATGATATTGTTACAACAGCGGAGGTCACGTGACACTAGTAACACGTCATGCACTTCTAGAACATTCATGAAACCTCGAGAGGTTAATAGATTCGATATTCTTGTACATATAAGACGGTCAAGACGTGACAGCAACAATGTAATGTGTAATTGAACTGTGGACAAAAAGAGAGAATATTGTTGAGTCTAGCACGTGAGACGTTCGTTGTG